CAACCTGCATATAACAAATGATTGCTTTCCTAATGAATATAAAGTGCATAAATGAAGAAGCAAAAGATGAGAAACCCAATGGAAAAACAGGCAAAGGACCAAAATAGGCATTTTATAAAGTGAAAACATAAGTGGAAAACAAATGTTTGAAAAAATGCTTAATATTCTCACTAGTAATCAAATAAATGTCAACTAAAACAGTTCCCACTTTCTCACTATTAAATTAGGAAAGATAAAATTACCAATATTGGTAAAGGCATGGGGAAAGTACCATCTCTCTGCTGTGCAAACTGACAATATGTATGTAATCTTTTGACATAGCAATTTCACTTCTAGAAACATATCCTAAAGAATGAACATGACAATAACAAAAATATGAACAGAAAAAATTGTTTGCTGAAGTATCATATTTTTTGCAAATAACGCACCCATGTAAATAATGCACCCACACATATCACCTGCGGCACAGCTCACTTACAAAAATAGTGCTGGGGGGAGGTGTTGGCCAAAAAAAACATACAATGCACTTGTTATTTGTGTAAAAATATGCTATTATGAATTAATTAAAAAAAACGGGAAAAGAAACCAAAATATCTAACAAAAGGGGATTGGTTGAATATACAATGGGACCTCATCCATACTCTGAAACATGAAGCAGACATTAAAAAGATGACAGAGTTTTAAGTATGAAAATGAAAGATGCTCAACATTAAAAGACTACAAAATACTGTCTATAATGTCACGTTTGCAAAAAAAAAAAAGTGTATAAGCACATTTGTTAAAAAGGTTGTAAACACAGGTAAGCAAGCTTATTCTGTAAAGGCAAGAAAGTGAATATTTTAAATTTGTGGGCCATATGGTCTTTGGCACAAGTTACTGAACTCTGCCCTTGTAGTATATAGTATAAAAGCAGCCATAGATGATATGTAAATGGATGAGCATGGCTGGATTCCAATAAAACTTTATTTATAGACGCTGAAATCGGAATTTAATATAATTTTTACATGCCATATAATGTTCTTTTTTTTTAAATTTTTAATTCAACAGCTTAAAAATGTAAAAACCATTCTTAGCTCCTGGGCAATACAAAAAACAGGTAGAATGCCAGTACAGGCCCTTGAACCATAGTTTGCAACCTCTGATCTAGAAGGATATACACTATCATACCATCAGTGGTTATCCTTAAATGGTGGGATTACAGTGACGTTGTTATTGCTTATCTACATTGTGTAATCAATATCTAAATTACGTATCAACAGTACATAATATAAAAGAACAGCTGAATACCTGAGCAGTAGTTAACATTTCAAAGAGCAATGATACAGTAATAATACTTATCACGAAGATGGTCCAAGAAAACAAACGTATGGAAGCTAAAGTTTACCAGCACTGGTTGGTTGTTGTACCACTGTAACACACAGTCTCCCCTTCTGTTTTTCAGGCTATTTTTTTCTCCATTCTTTTCCTTATATTCCAGTACATTCATCAGTTACCTACATATATTTCCTTTCTATTCATCAAGTCACTGAATTAATTTTTTCACATCTCAGGTGATTAGATAGGCTTGCCTCCAATCTCATCAAATTACGAAGCCACTCTTGAAAGAACCAGCTCACTATCTTACATGAGATAGTTTTGATGACGAGACTTTTTTACTCACTGAGTTCAAACTCCTTACACATGGCACTACACGCCTTTTATAAGCGGGCCTAACCTTACTTTGTAGCCCTGGTGGTGCAGTGGTTAAGAGCTCCACCAGCCGCTCCCTGGAAAACCTATGGGGCAGTTCTACTCTGTCCTATAGGGTCACTATGAGTCTGAATTCACGCGACAGCAACAGGCTTGGTTTTTTGTTCTGGAACTTTCCTTCTAGAATTCTGAATTACTTGTCTACCCAAAAACCAAACCCACTGCCATCAAGTCGATTTCAACTCAGAGTGACCCTACAGGACAGAGCAGAACTGCCCCATAGGGTTTCCAAGGTTGTAAATCCTTACGGAAGCAGACTGCCACATTTTTCTTCCACAGAGCAGCTCCTGGATTCGAAATGCCACCTTTTGGTTAGCAGTTAAAAGTCAGCAGCCCAGCGCTTAACCACTGGGCCACCAGGGCTCCTTCCCGTTGCTGTGAAGTCAATTCTGACTCATAGTTACCCTACAGGACAGAGTAAAACTGCCCCAAAGGGTTTTCAAGGCTATAATCTTTATGGAAGCAGACTGCTACATCCTTCTCCCGAGGAGCAGCTGGTGGGTTCAAATCACCAACCTTTCGGTTAGCAGCTAAGTGCTTAACCACTGAACCAACAGAACTCCATTACTTGCCTACCAAAACAACAACAACAACAAAAACAAATTCGCTGCCGTCGAGTTGATTCCGACTCACAGCAACCCTACAGGACAGAGCAGAACTGCCCTATAGGGTTTCCAAGGAGCGCCTGGTGGATTCGAACTGCCAACCTTTTGGTTAGCAGCCGTAGCTCTTGACTACTGGGCCACCAGGGCTCCATTACTTGTCTACAGGAAACCTCAACTCCTACTTAACTGGCCTCCATTACTGTTCCCTGAATAAGCCCAGATATCTCCCTCCAGCTAAGGGGCGCCTGGTTAAGGGCCCCTCTAACACTCTTTGGATCAAGATGCTGTCTTAGAAATAGTGTAAGATTAGGAAGATGAGCAACACAGATAAAAGGACTCAGTCCTTTCTGACAATTGCATCTAACAGCAATTCTGACATAAGTCAAATACTTCTTTTTCTTTTTTTTTTAAGTTTTCATTATTATTGCCTTTTATTATCAGTATCTTTATAAACCTGATCTCTGTCTTTGGGGACTGGAAACATTATATATAAATTTACAGATATATTTTAATACATACATACATAAAAAAACACAAATAATAAACAATAGACAGTCGTAAGTGTGGTTCATCATAACTTGAATACGTTGTTAAGTCGGGGACTACCTGTAAATATATCCAGTATGTGCTAAGTGCCCAAGGAGTGGTAGAGACTATTCACTGATGTATATATTTTTTCCCTTTCTACTATAACTGGCATATATTATGGAATAAAAATGTTTAACACTTGTACTTATTGAACTATATTTATATACTTTGCTCATACTTTAAATTCTGCTGGAGGACATCATTTTTGGTAAAGTGGAGGGTCAGTGAAGGCAAAGGAAACCCTCAATGAGACGGACTGACACAACGGCCACAGCAATGGACTCAAACATCAACGATCACAAAGATGCAGCGGGACCAGAAAACATTTTGTTGTCATCCATAGGGGCGCCTGGACTTGACAGCAACTAACAACCACTAGAAATACATACACCTCTCTTAAAATTGTTTTGTACTCACCGTACATTTCCCTTTTTTTCCCATTACAGATACGTAGATCAATAGAAATAATTTTCCACAGCAGTTACACATACTCCAAAACTCTTAGGGCATTCAACTATAGTTCAGAGAGCAAGAAATTTGCAGTGACAAAGACCTGGGTTAGCAATTTTGAACCTTTCCCCTTTTACTTCAGTGTGATCTTGGGCAACCGCTTAACCTCTTTTTTCCTCACCTGTAAAATGGGGATAATAACTACTTCACAAGGTTGTTGTAACAACTAAATAATCTAATAGGTGGAAACAATTTCCCAGTGCCTCATGAGTAAGAATTCCATAAACAGAAATTGATACCATTATTACTCAAAAGCAATAATGCCACTGCCAAGACTAGATTATTGGTACCTTCGTTTTTAGTGATTTAGAAAACCCGAGCACAGAGTAGTGAAACTGGACCGTCAGAGAACTGCCTACATTCGTAGTATAAACTGAATTTGCGCTAAGAACCCTGGTGGCGCAATGGTTAAGCGCTCGACTGCTACCCAAAAGCTCAGCGGTTGGAACCTACCAGCTGCTCTCCGGGAGGAAGATGTGGCAGTCTGCTTCATAAAGATTTACAGCCTTGGAAACTCTATGGGGCAGTTCTACTTTGTCTTACCGGGTCGCTATGACTCAGAATCGACTTGACGGCAGTGGGTTTTTTTAATTAAACTTTACAGTGTGCCTTAGCTTACTCAACCCCTCTGGGAAGGAAATGATCAGAAAAGAAGTTTGATTACTGATCATGACAGAGCCATAGAAATGTGTAAGTGATGAAATGATATGCCAAGAATACACTTCCAAATAACCCGGCGAGAGGGAGCAAAACTGGCCAAGTATCAGTAACTGCTGAAATTGGGTGATGGGTCGCAATGGACTTGAAGGCAACGGGTTTGGTTTTTTGGTTTTGGGGTGATGGGGACACCGAGTTCATTATATTATTCTCTCTACTTCTGTATAGTTTCAAAATTTTCATAATAAAAAATTTTTTTTAATGTTCAAAGGTCGACTTTTCTTTGGAGCTTAATGCAAACTGTGATCAGGAAGATACGCTTGGGATTTCTGGGAGGCGAAAAGTGAAACGGCGGCACAAAGCCGGCTGAAGCCGGTTAAACCTCCTAGGCAGATCCGTGGGTGTGCTACTCCTCCCGGGATCCCAGAGGCCGGAGCCTGGAGTTGCACCCGCGATCGTCTGGCTCCCCATGTCCTGGGAAAGGAGGGAACCAACGCAAAGGGCGGCCTTCCTGGGACCGCCGCCTGGCGGCCGGCGCAAGAACGGGGGACTGGGAAAATTGGACTGGGGGCGAGGGCAGGGGTGACAGAAGATATAGGGGTGGATGGGTGGGTGAGTCCTACCCTTCGGGGCAAGTCGGACCACCTTCCGCCGCGCCCGCCCAAGCTCCAGACACAAAACGGCGCTCCGCCACCCTGGCTGCCTGAGAACGTCTCCACCTCCTTTCAGCCACCGGACAGACACCCAAACCGCCGGCCTCCGCGCACTCTGGAACCCGGCTCCTTCAGCTCCTGCCCTGCCTGTTTCCCGGCCTTCCCACCACCGTGAGGCTCGAGGGCGCCTCCTCTACCCCACCGCCAACCGCTTTTCCGAGTCCCCAGCCCCACTTACCCCGACCGCGCGACAGCCGGCGCCTTTTTGAGTTACTCAGGTTCCTAGCTTGGCCGTCCCGGTGCTTTGCTGCCAATCAGCCAATCCCCGCCCCGAGCCGGAAACAGACTGACCAATCAGGTGCTTCCGACGGCTCGGAGGCGGGCACAGAGAATTGCGAAGAGGCATCCCGGGCGGAAGAAGAGCCGACTGCCCGACGCGTAGGCAGCCGCTGTCGCCGGTGTGCGCATGGGCGGGGCTTGGGGGGCGGCGTGCGCTTTAGTGCGGGGCTTGTTCGGTGTCTTTGCTGCTCTGCGTTGGGCAGTACTTTTGTTTGTAAATTTCATGTTCTAGGTGTATAGGAAGACCTACATTCCGAATGTAGTCGCAAGTGTGTATTACCCTAAAAGAAGCTGTGAGTCTTACGCCCTGGTTAAGCTAACATACGTGGAACCCTTTTCGCCCTAGTTTACGCGGACCTCACTGTTTCTATGGGAGTGGGGATGCGGAGTTGTACAAAGTGCCTGACAGATAAGGTTGGGCTTTACTGCCCTCAATTCAACATGTTTAGCCTGATTAATTTGGGACACATGCTTTTTTCATAGTTGAGTATTCTAGGACACTCTTGATTTCAAATAACTTTCATGAAAATATTACATTTATAGCTAACACTATATTCTGCGTGGTGATATGTTTAGGCGTGATAAACGAATCATATCTAGGGTGAGAAACCGGTATTTCTGTATCGCCTTTTAAGAGGCTGTTGCTGATTGGTTGTCTCTCTTACCGTCCCATTGCTATTGATCTCCGAGGTCACTAGGCGTCCACCAGCGCTCTGATGTTCTTACCGTGGGTTGCCCAAGTCTCCCTGGCAAGGGTTTCCCTCCTTCAGCAAGAGCGTTAATTTATTTACTCAACAAGTGCTTGTTGGGGACCCACTCTGACAGTACAAAGATTAGAAAAAAAAAAACTTGAACCACGCCCTCAGTGAGCCAAAGGGCTCCTGGGAGATAAAACAAATGTTTTAATGGAAGTACCGAGGGGACCTGGGAGAATTGCATAAGCCGTTCTGGGGACTCAGAGAACACTTCGGGGAGGAGCTAGTGCTTAGGCTGAGGCTTGATGGAAGAGCAGGAGCTTCTGAGCTGAGCTAGAAGGATGAGAGGAAAGGACGGCATTTCAGGCGAAGGCCACTTGTTTCTTCCTCTGTCGTCTTTATAGGGTAGATTTACCGCGAAGCTAATGAAGCTTGTGCTACAGGACTCCCAACTTGGATCAGCCCCTTCGAAGGCCGAGGAGAGAAACTAGTATTGAGTTCACATGGTCATATATTCTTTTTTTACTTTTTAAAAGGAGTTGTCTTAAAGCACCCGTCAAGTGAAATTGGTTGTTACTGTTGTTAGGTGCCGTGGAGCTGGTTCTGACTCCTAGCGACCCTATGTACAACAGAATGAAACACTGCTGGGTCCTGCACCATCCTCACAATGTTGCTATGTTTGAGCCCATTGTTGCCGCCACTGTGTCAATCCACAGGTGCCCTGGTGGTGCAGTGGTTAAAGCGCGGGCTGCTAATCAAAAGATCTGGGGTTCCAGCCCACCAGCCGCTCTGCAGGATAAAGATGTGACAGCCTGCTTCCATAAAGATTTACGGCCTTGGAAACCCTACGGGGCAGTTCTACTCTCGTATAGGGTCGCTATGAGTAGGAATCAGCTCCTGGGCGGTGGGTAGGTGTCAGTCCATCCCCTTGAGGGATTGGTTAAGACCTGTCCTTTTTGTATTCCAACTTCTCCACTTTAATGGTTCTTTTGGTGCTAGGAGCCCTGGAGTGGCCCTAGACATGTTTGGGATCCGGCTAAGGAAAAATGTTGAGTTGAGGTTAAGCCACTTCGTGTTATTGCTGGCTCTCCTGATGTTGGAATGGCTTCCAGGAATACCTCTAGCCATGCTCTGTGCCAGCTCACTTAGCCCTGTAACACAAAGGTCCCATGGATGTGACCCATGGTGTTTGGCAATAGAAGTATGTGGCTAGTAGGGAAGAAACAGTTTGAAATGTTCTGAGCCAGAAGCTAATCTGGGGCAAAGTGTCCAGTCATCACACTTTTAAAATTATAAGCAGGCTGCTTTATTTTTTTTCCCCCCTTTGATAAATTTTTTATTTTAGAATACTTCCAGAATTAGGGAAAAGTTGCAAAGATGGTCGAGAGTTCTATATACCCCTCACCCTAACGCTTCTCCTAACTACCATGGTGGTACCTTTGTCAAAACTAAGAAACCAACGTTGGTACCTCATTATTAACTAAACTCCAGACTTTATTCAGGTTTCACTAGTGTTCTTTTTCTGTTCCAGGATCCAATCCAAGAGGCCACATTGCATTTAGTCGTGTCTCCTTAGTCTCCTTTGGTCTTCGACAGTCTTTCCTCGTTTTTCATGACCTTGACATTTTTGAGAAGTACTGGTCTGGTATTTTGTAGAATGTCCCTCAATTTGGGTTTGTCTGATGTCCTTCTCAGACTGAGGTTATGGGGTTTAGGAAAAATACCACAAGGTGAGGTGCCGTTCTCATCACATCATATCAAATGGTGCATGACATCAGCATGACTTATTACTGGTGGTATTAACTTTGATTACCTGACCATGGTAGTGTTGCTAGCTTCTCCACTGTAAAGTTGTGAGTTATTTCCCCCCCTTCCATAGTCTATTCTTTGTAATTGAGTCACTAAGGCCTCCCCACACATCAAGGAGAGAGAGGATTAAGCCTCAACTCCTGGAGAGGCTAGTACATAAATTATTTGTAATTCTTCTGTAAGGAAGATTTGTCTCTTCTCCCCCATTTTTAAAAAATTTATTCAATTAACATGGACTCATGTATATTTATTTTAATACTTTGTTTTAGATTTTATACTATGCATTTTATATTGTTGCTTAAATTGTTCCATCTTTGGCTATTGAGAGCTCTTTTGCGTTGACTCCTGGGTCCCTTCAATAAGCCCCCATGCTTTTGTATTTTGATCACCTTGTTTTCTGGAATTACAAGATGCCCCGGGCTCATTTTGTATTTTTCCTGACCCTAGAACCAACCATTTCTCCAAGGTGCCATGGTTTTAGAAACTAAAATCTAGGCACTAAATGTACTCGTTGCTACTGGGATGTCATTCCATCTAGCCTCTCTCAGTGAACAAAGCTAGGAAATATATTATGTTGCCTTTTAATTCTCCATTTATAACTCTGTGGTAGGCAGTCTCTAAGATGGCTTCCAATGATCCCCGCTCCTGGTAGTCATGCCCTGTGTAATCCCTACTTCTTGAGGGTGGGCTAGACCTAGTGACTTGCTTCTAATGAATGAAGTACAGCAAAAGTGATGGGATATCATTTCCGAGGTTAGGTTACAAGAAGAGTGTGGCTTCCAACTTGCTTGCTCTCTCTAGGTTTCTCCTTCATTTTCTGTAAGAAAATATTTCCTCAGATGCCATGTTGTTAGCTACTATATGGAGAGGCCCATGTGGCAAGAAACTGAGGGAGACCTCTGGCCAACAGCCAGGGAGGAACTAAGGCCCTCAATCCATTAGCCTATGAGAAACTGGATTTTTCTAACTGCCATGTGTGTGAAGCTGGAAAAAGATCTTCTCCCAGTCAAGTCTTGAGATGACTGCAGCCTGGCTGATACCTTGATTATAACCTTGTGAGAGACCCTGAGCCAGAGGCACCGAGCTAAGCTGCACCTGGGTTCCTGACCCACAGAAACTATGAGATAATGAATTATTGCTTTAAGCCACTAGGTTTTGAGTAATTTGTTACACAGCAATAGATAACTAATAAAATTTCTGTCTTCTCCACAAAATTAATGGATCTTACATCTCATTTTGGAGCTTTTTTAAAACATGCATATGGCCAGACCCCTTCCCAGAATCTTAGGTGATTGTCCTGCATAGCTATGTTTGGAAACCATTGTAGAAGGTATACAGGGAAATCCATTTGGGGCCATTAGAATAAAAGTAGATTTTTTTTTAATTGTCCTGTAGGTGAAAGTTTATAGCTCAAGTTAATGTCGCATACAAAAATTTATACACATATTGTTATGTGACACTAGTTGCAATCTCTATAATGTGACAGCACACTCCCCCTTTCTATCCCGGGTTTCTTGTGTCCCTCCAACCGCTCTTGTCCCTTCCTGCCTTCTCATCTTGCCTCCATTTGGTCTTGTGTATCTGCTTGAACTAAGAAATACACTCTTCACGAGTATTATTTTATGTTTCATAGTCCAGTCTAATCTTTGTCTGAAGAGTGGACTTTGGAAATGGTTTTAGTTCTGGGTTAACAGAGCGTCCGGGCGCCGTGGCTTCGGGGGTTCCTCCAGTCTCAGTCAAACCATCAAGTCTGTTCTTTTTATGTGAATTTGAGTTCTGCTCCACACGTTTCTCCTGCTCCATCAGGGACTGTCTGCTGTGTTCCCTGTCATGGTAGCTGGGCGGCATCTAGTTCTTCTGGTCTCAGGCTGATGGAGTCTCTGGATTATGTGGCTCTTTTGTCTCTTGGGCTAATATTTTCCTTGTGTCTTTGTTGTTCTTCATTCTCCTTTGCTCCAGGTGGGTTGGGACCAATTGATGCATCTTAGATGGCTGCTCTCAAGCTTTTGAGACCGCAGACGCCACTCACCGAAGTGGGATGCAGAGCTTTTTCTTAATAAACTTTGTTATGCCAGTTGACGTAGATGTTCCCCGGAACCATGGTCCTCAGACCCCAGCCCCGGCTACTCTGTCCCTCAAAGTGTTTGGTTGTGCTCAGGAAACTTCTTAGCTTTTGGTTTCGTCCAGTTTGTTTTTTTTTTTAAGTGTATTTTATCCTGGAGTTCTTTATCCAAATTCTTGGAAGAATCCACAATAACTGAAACTTCATCTGCTAGTTGTGTGTATTTATTGAATACAGCAGAAAGAAACAGAGCTCTCTCTTATTCACTGTGTGGCCGTAAAAAAGTCAGTTGACCTTTCTGTGCCTCCAAATTCCCAACTGGAAATTATAGGCCTATAAAGCCATTCCCCCCACCCCACCACCGTTTATTTAGGCAAAGAGATTTGTCCATTATTCGGCGTATATTAGAAATAGAATGGTGACCAAGGCTAGTTCTTACCCTCCTTGTAGAGATTTAACAAAAGGTCAGATTCCCAATTATTCATATTGGT